GATATCTCGAGTAATTATTAACGGATTAACTTCAAACTTCACAACAAGGTTAATTACCATGAAACCTCGGACAAGTTCGATAACCGCCATTATTCGACCGTAATTATTGGAGTTATTCCCCTTGGTTTCATTAATGCGATGCATGCGTTCCATGATGTTGTATTGCACTCATTGATCTACCAGTTATGTTGAATGATTTCTCTTTTAATATCAATTACTCACAAATACTTCATATATTTCAATCATACAAACAACTGCTCATTCAATGTGTGACGGGCATATTATATACCGCTCGCGGTAACCTTGTTCACTGGTGATAACCACTGGTAAACAGGACTTTTACCAGTGATAACCCCTGGTAAACAGGAATGTCACCAGTGATAAACCCTGGTAAACAGGAATGTGATAAGTGTTTCACCAGTGATAACAACTGGTTATAATAGGAATTTCACCAGTGATAACCCCTTATAAACAAGTGTTTTACCAGTGATAACCCCTAATAAACAAGTGTTTTACCAGTGATAACCCCTAATAAACAAGTGTTTTACCAGTGATAACCCCTGAAAACAGGACTTTCATTAGTAATACCAGTTTAACACTTGGTAAACAAGACTTTTACCAGCAAAAAAAACTGAAAACAGGAATTTTACTATGCAGTGATAACCCCTGGTATATATAGACAGGAATTTCACCAGTGATAACCCCTGGTATATATAGACAGGAATTTCATCAGTGAGGACCCCTGGAAACAGGACTATGTCCAGTGTTGACCCATGAAAACAGGTTTTTCACTGGTGATAACCTCTGGTTAATAGGAATGTTACCAGTGATAACCCATGGTAACATATGTTTTAACTTTGTAGCAACACTTGGGAGTAACACTTGGCGAGAACAGACATGGAATCCACAGGGCTCAGCGTTGGTACGATGCCACAGAGAAGGCCAGAGGCTACACACTGGTATGTTTTATAGGTGTCCCACAAATAAATCATCTACAATTAAAGCTCATCAATACTTACTGAGTTCTAGTTGAGGCTTCGAATACTGACACATGGCCAGCAAAGATAAATAAGTCAGATTACAGACAACTTGATTAAAAGATTTCAAAATAAGTTTGGTTGTGATTCTCCCTTTTATAATAGCTTGAAACAATTGGGTTAATACTTATATATCTAACATCATTTTTTGTTTGAATGACATCACTGGTTACCATTGATTATTGTTACCAGGGACCAGTTACAAGTGCTGATATGACCACCAGAGAGAGGTTGGACCGTCCCCTCGTGAGGGTGTTCCACCGACATCCCGGCACACAATTACCAGAGGCCCAGGAGGTCATCAAGGTTAGCTGCTTAGAGTTGATGACCGGATAAAACTTACTGAAACAATTTAATTTAGATGGAAATCATCTTTTATTTTCACTCCTCATAGTAAGGACTTTCTATCACCACACTTACACAGATCATTGATTTATTTTAAGGCATGATCTTCTATATATATTTGAGTTGAAAGTTGACTGTCTTAATGATTAAGCATGAATTTTATCTCTTAAAATATATAAATAACAAAGGGCAACACATTCACGATACACTTATTGATAAAAGTGTGATACTTGCAACAACATTCTGTCTTACATAATCAATTTTCATTGGCCTATTTGATCACTGTATAGCTGGATAATGGTATGTATATTGGTTTGTACGAAACTGACCAGAGGCGTCTTTTTTTTGTATTTTCTAGAACGGTGGTGGTTTGCTCCAGTCACTCACAGCCACCAGCCGGAACATAGGATTGCTCAATCTGGCTAACATCAAACTCCGGGAAGACATCAAGAGTAAGGGTGTCGCGTCATCTGTAGATGCCAGCATCATTCGGCTGCGCAGGAGGAGAGGAGATCACAGATGGACCTTAGGAGCTGCGTTCTAATCCCAGTTACTGCATGTTTGCTGTGAACATTGAAAATAAAATAGGTACAAGGCATCCACAGAGGGGATGGCATCATGAGGATAGTTACCGAACATGTCAATTCTTACAGTCGGTTTATATCTAGTCTGTTACCAACAGGTTAAAACAAATCTAATACCTTCCGGATTTTTTATTTATAAATAATGATTACCAGAGAAATTCTACAACTTTCTTTTAATTGTGCTTTGTAATCAAAACCCTTCTCCAGGAATAATCTTGCAAGTTGTGAGTGTGAGGGAGAGAAAATGTGATTTACAAATCTGGTTTAACAAAATGGAAAATTTGTAGAATTGTTTTGGCTGTAAGGAAAAGAACTGGATTGAGTGATTGACAATTTTGTTTGATAATTTAGTGGATGATCACCAACCTTGACCTAATGTTATAAAGTGACATTATAATAAATATATTGTTCGTGTTTTGTTATTGCTATACCAATAGATTTGGTATACATTTCATTCTACATAAAAATCTTTTATTGTCATTTTTAAAAAAAACCTCTAAAACTGCAAGTTGCAGTGTATTTTTATGATATACTCTTATTTTCATTTTAAAGACACTTGCATGTTTACACGATTTATTCATTTTTTCTGCAAAATGATTTTATTAAAGAATGTATGCAAAAATTACTTTCTTACTTTTTTTTATATATTTGTGCTCATTTCTTCACATTAGAAATTATTATTAAATTAATTTTGTTGCACTGTCTGTGATTGTTTTTAGTAAAATGAGTAGTCTTTTTCAAATTGAAAAACCCCCTGAACTTTTCATTTATTAAGTTTTAGTGTTGCACTCAATGGTTTTCTTTTAAATGAAAATAGTATTTTTTATCGCTGCTCAGTTTGACTGAGTTGACAACAGTATTACAGAATGATAGTAGCTATTGTGGGTACTCCTTGTTACATGTTATAATCAGTATTATGGCTGCTGCTACGTAAGCAGCCCGGACCCTGTGAAGGATTGGATCTGATGAATCAGTATTTAACTGTTGAACCGGTTTAAGTATTAATAGTCTGTATTGGAAAATAAAGGAAAATAACCTGGATTGATTTTTTCCATCTACCTAGGTATATATACAAAGTATTATTGAAACAGAAATGAGCTTACACCCTTACATGAGTATCCCTGATTTTGCTCAACCAACATATTTGTTTTTGGTCTTGTGCATTGTATGCATGAATGCTGGTTTGTATCAAAACAACATTTACATATTACTGGTATTTTTTTCATTAATTGTTTGCAAAATATATTATACAATACAAAGTATTTGTTAATTGCTTGTTGTTACATGTAAAAGAAACAAATAGTATATATTGTTCTGTTCACCATGTACATTATATATTTATACATGCTTATCATTTACATTTTGTATGATATACATTATGACCTGCTGTCGCGTTGTCTGTGATAACATGTTTGTTAGTGACACACGTTTTTATTGTTGAGTTGTTAAAGCTACTAAGAATCCTAAGCATTCGTTTTTCTTCCCTTTTATTTCCTTTATAATGGTTTTCGAAATAATGTGATAATTTTCTTTGTAAAACATTGTTTTCGCTCCCATGAAACTACACAAAGTTCTACTTAGAGTTGATTGTAGACTGTGATATACAAACTTGGCTATGCTGCCAAGGACATTGGCCTAAACGAACACATTACATAGCACTGTGATGGATGTTTAATATTATTTGTTTTCATTTCAATACTTATAGTGAAAGTCCTTTGATATGTAAATAAAAGGTGTAAATTTTAGGTTTTATGATAATTTACTCCAAGTCAATAGCATAATTAAGTTCCATCCTTATCAGATTAATGTAAAGTTCTTTTTTTGAATGAAATTTTCCATAAATAAATTGGATAATGACCAAATTTTTAAACTTACATTAAAAACAACCACTCCTTTTGATTTCGATTTTGTAAGAGACAGCATGAGTGTGCAGTTAAATAGGAGTTTAGATTTTAATAGTCAGTAGTATTATGGTTGGCCCCCAGTCTTTCCAACCCTTCATTTCACTTTCTCTGTGATAAGTTTATCAGCACTGTATCATTGCACTGCAAACCCACTGTTTTTGTTGCACACCTTGTCAGACTATTACGAGTGCTAAATAAAAGGCTTGATAGGCTTTCATTGTGTTGTGTTTTCATTGGTTCTTACCTTTATACACAAATACAGGTGGTCCAATTCATCAATGTCCAGGAGGATTACATTCTAAGTCCATATTCATAATAGTTTATCTGAATGTATCTCCAGTTAACATTTATTATACACTTGCTATTGAAAAGATAGTATAACAAACACCTCGACATTTGGACTTTTTAAACAAGAGTGTATACATACCATGCAACCAGTCAGGAATTTGAAATGTTTTCAATATACTGGAGATGGAAAATATGATCAATTGATAATTATCAGACTTCAACAAGTGCTGGAAAATTTAAGAAAAATGAAGAAGAACGCTTGTTTTTAAGAAGAGAACATTCATATTACAAATATCAATCCACCGCTTCCTTTCATAATCCAGGCGAGTTTCCTAGAAGTATATGTTGTATACATTTTCCAATTAATCTTTTACTTGCCTAATTTGTTGCATTAACTTAAGACATCCAGGTGTTGGAATTTGGAAGGTCTATACATGTGAAGACTAAATTACCTGTAACCAAGTATTTTAAGGCTTATGGATGCCTCTTTCATTTCATACCATGTTTGAAAGGTTATCAACTTGTCAGTTTAACAAGGAACATAGCTTTATGTGCCCTAATACTTCCAGATCAAATTCCAAAGTACACAAGTGTGACAACATATTAATTGAACATGAATAACTTGTATGACTACCCGACTTCATATGTAGTATTTTTTACAGGGTTGATATGCAATATTTTCGTACTGTACAAAAATGCAGACAAAATGCATAAAAATAACAAAGAATAAAAAAGATCCTTTCCTCTCATTTATTACTGCATTTACATACTTATATCACAATGTGTTCAGGATGAGTAAAGTAATGGTTTGTTGTACAGAGTATGTAGCACTTTAGATTTGAAACTGGTTATTGTTAAAAAATGGAGCTCCCGAAACTGGAGTACACCTATACAGTAATGGAAACTTATAGTGTTCAACACCGATCAGGTGGTAGAGGTATCATACATTGATTTGGAGAATGGTAATAGTGACCTATGTAAAGAATTACATCTATGGCACGGCATGAATACATGCAAGTAATTAGTAAACCTCTTTTTAAAAATCCACGTAATACTCATAATTTCACGATTGAAAAATCATGAAAAAATGTAAAACATCAGCCAAAATATAAATCCAAATAGAGTTCCTTCTTTAAAAATTGAGGAGATACTGTATTTCTTAAAAGACTGCATCAGTTAGCTAACCATTTTACAGAAACATACAGTACCTGTTGGCTGTTTTNTCAACCAAATCAACCCCCCCCCCCCCCAGTTATTTTCTGGTTGTCTAGTTTGGTCTTATTTCCTTTGACAATAACACACACTTTAAGACAAGCCTCATTATCTGGTTGTTCCACTATTCAACAATTGCTCTAAGTTCACCCTTTCTTTTTTTACACCGAAACTTTCCTATTAATCCAGTTGTAATTTGCCAGAAAAAAACGTGGTTGGATAACTGAGACTCAGCTGTATTCAAAGTCTTTATCAAAAGGATATCACTTCCTGGAATGATAGCCAAAGACATTGATGATAAAAGGGGCTGTTAATCTAATTACATACAATAATTTTTAGTCTTGATATGCTTATTTCAAATAAACATAAAATACTATATTTCAATCATCAAATCTAGATATATTTTCACAATTTTTCCCCCAACTGATTCAACTAATCACATTACAAGTTACGTTGTTGTATCTTAATGAAACACCTTAATTTGACAGACGTATAGTATGACATGTCGGTTACATCAGAGAAAGTGAATAAGATGTGCAATATAAAATTGTTATTGTCTACACGTCAGGAATACGTGGGCACATACACACAATACAATACCAATCAAACTACTCGAATGTCTCTCATTCATACTAGGCATTATATCAAGTATTATATCATACACCAACAAAATACAGTAGATTTTACTTCTGATGAAACCATACCAAAATGCCAAATGTTTAAAAGCTCCTTCCCTGCAAAAGAATACTGAAAACTCTAGGTAAGTATCTGACACAGCCACACTGTAAAGGGTTACAGATTTTGACTTAGTATGAATTCAACCAAAATGGAATACACCTCAACTATTGATGTTGTTTATGTAAGGGGAGACAACCTGGAGTTTAAAGTTAGAATTAGATTTATGACAATTACTTTTGACCCTTTCTGACTGATATTATGCTTTGAATTGCTATTGGTTTATATCGGCTATAAGATGACTGAAGCTCATCATCAATAATAAAAGAAAACTTGACACTAACTGGGAATAACCACCACAAAGGACATCAATTTATACTGTATCAAATCTACCACAGCGACAACCTCCAAGACTTCAAAACTATCCATCATCATCATTTCCATGCTATCAGGCAGTAAAACACTTACACTATTGTCTGTATGTCCATTGATACACAATTACTAAAACAAGTGATATCTTGGTAAATCGCTTGGTAACATTGCTGGATAAGGGATTGGAAATTTATATACATATGTACCTCGTTTATCGAGTTATAGGTTTATTACATAACAAGACTTTGTTTTAAGCACAGCATTTTAACAACTGCTAAAGTTCATGATTTTCTTCTGAGTTCAAATGTGAGGAAAGCGTTGATATATTTAGAATACATTGATTACCTTCAATAAGACAAATGACTTACATAAAGTGATCTTTCAACAATTACAAGGCAGTACACTACAAAAAATAATAAATTAAAGAAATCAACCAAAGGTGATTTCTTTTTTTTTTATCATTGATAGCATGGAACATAATTTATAGAATCATATAAATAAAGCATTACATAGATATATATATATAAAGGGTAATATATAATTTGCACAAGTACCTGCACACAAAAACAAGACATTTTCTCATAAACACAACAATGTATACATATATATATATAGACTTTCCAATATGTTATTTATAGCTTCCATAAACAAATTTAAAAATGAAGGGAAAAACAAATCAGAATGTGCCAAATTTCCGATTCATCCATTGTTCTTAATATTTTTTGTCAAATAATCTTTAAAAACCAGTTGGTGAATTCCTTTTTCTACTTTCATTTTTACAACAGATCATAACACCTTTCAAAAAGAGAAGTATGTATCAATGTACCAAATATTCTGTTTTGTGTGGCTGCACGTAATTTTCTTCAATAATCTGGACGACCAATCCTTATAACACTGTTTGTACCATGCACTCTAAATCCACCAATATATTTGATTTTTGAATTTTGTGTCAGAGGTCCTTCTTTAAGACATCACATATGTTTTGTATGTACCTGTATTGGTAAAACACTAGCACTCTATAGAAATCAAAAACTGTTACAGAACAGGTAGAAGTTATCAACGCTACAGCTTTGTGGCTTGTTAATCAGTAGCTGAATCTGTATATGATCGAGAAAGCTTTTTCCTTCTGCTATTTGAGCAAATGAACATTGGGCTATGGTATTGCAACTAGATAATTGTTTACAAAAAGTTTTCATGCACCTTACTGTATAACATGAAACTTATGTTCAAAGTATATTTAACAAGCTCTACATAATTTGATTTCGACTGACTGAAATTTTTTCAATTCATGCAATCATGTTTTGGTTTGATAGCATCCTGTTTGTACAGTATCTCTGAACAAAACTTTTCCTTGTTTTCTTGAATGTAAATGAAATAAAATTTGAAACTATATGCCCAACATTATCATTTTAATCAAGATTATTTTATTTCAACAGAAAGGAAAAGGAATTTTGATGCCAAACACAATCTCTATCTTACCAAACCAAATCCTATCACAGTAGTAATAAATAACCCTATATATCTACATTAAACTAAAACAAATCCTACGTCATCTGATACATAAACACAAAGCCAAATGAAAGAGCCATGAGCATAAAACTGTGTGGAATAATTACAGCTGAATATACTATTAATATTTTAAAGTAACTTATTCTATGTCAAGGAAATGACAATTTCAGAAATCTTCTCCATAGATGTGAAAAGTGTCAATTGAAAATTAAAAAAATATTACTTCACCAACAAAGAACTCTGAAAAGACTATCACTGCTAAACAGTAGGACCAACCACACAATGGTGATACGTTAACGGTCAGTTGAGAGAGTGTTATGTATACACAGAACGATGATATCAAACACCTGTTTAGTAAAAAAACACGTGATCTGTTATTAAGACTATTTACACTGAGGCTAAATCACAAACAAAGCATCACACTCATACCACATGTAAATACATAGTTAAGTTTATATACATAGATTTTATCGTGTATACATAATCTCTGTGAAATATCTTAGTTGCTGTCCATGTTGTATCTTTTACCAGGTAAGATTTATATAACACATACCTTTTTGTTAGGTATGGGGCTGTTTCATTGATTACATCATACTGCAGGCCACATCAATTTCAAGCTAGTATACCCTATTAAACTCAAGAAAATGGTAGCTAATCAGACTGATGTTGTGCTAATAGGTTTCTTCAATGTCATTGGAAGCTTCCATGGTCACCACAGGGGAGTTGTTCACAAGTTGTACAATATATATACGAGTAAGATTTATTCCTCAAGTAATCATGAAAAGGGGTGGGGCCATTTCAATTTACCAATATCAAAAATGTATTAATAGTTGTGTGATCTAACCCGTCATCTACAAGAAATTTCAGCTGCAGTTTAATTTTTGCATTGTTTATCCTTCGTAATTAGGACAAATTGATAATGACAGCGAGCATCAGTAACCAACATAATATACAAAGTAATTAAATGTGAAGGCGCAATCACACGCGCTGAATATGTATTTTACCAATAAAGGGCCAAAGTTTGACAGGGCGAAAAGTCCCAAATATACAGTAATACTTTAGGTTAGGAAGTTTATAGGTGAAGGTGTATGAAAAATAGCCTTCAACCCCTCACATATGATTAATTCTGGAATAATCACATTGGAATAAAGTGTTTAATGTTGTAACCCATTGTTAACATAATTGACATGATTATATGGAGTATCAACACTCTACAAGCTCATAAGACGGCAAGTACTCGTAGAAAAATGTATGGTAATAAATTTTCCTCCGAGAATGAACGTCTTATCAGAATTACTGAGTGCTATACTAAAGCATGTCATCTTGTGTGTACCTTACAAATATCAAATCAATGAACCAGGTGCAAATAGCAATAAGTAAAACATGTTATACCGAGTTCTTAGTGTGGTACTCGGGTATAAATGGGAATTATGTCGTAGTAAGGTATATATATTAAGTTACATCATCTGAAATGGTACGTTGGATCATATCTTACATCTATCATGTAATATCAGCTATATTTGTTTTTGTTGATGTTCAAGCTAAATCATGAACATGGATGGCTAATTTGATAGCAAATGTTTTAAGTCTACAGCCATAAAACTGGCAAACTGGTTTAACCAAACATGCGCAAGATGCCTTTTATAAACAAATTGCAAAACAGACAAATATTTGCAAAAGGAAAATCATGACAAAGTGGCAGTCGTGACGAGATCCAGACATAAAATTATATATGTGCTCAAATTTATCTTAACAGTGGACATCAAGTTTAAAACTATCTTACAACAGGGAGTGACCTAATGGACACTGGTAATCTGTTGGCAACAACAGCCTAGTAAACAGTACAATGTTATAACACTATTATGTGAAAGTGTAGAGTAGTATATAAAACTGTACATCCATCTCGGACTGTGTATAACATCAACAATGTGCTATCAAAATTCACAGGATCATCGTTATTACATTGACTAGCTGGGTAACAGATGGGGAGTTCACATGCAAGATAGTAACTGTACAAATTTACTGAAGATACATTCCACTTAATAGGAAATTTCTGCTTGTTCTCAGTAAAACCAGGTGTAGAAAGTCGAAAAACGAATTCCACAGTTGTATGTGTATTACTTGTTTAAAGTATTGAACAATTCAAAAACCATTTTCAAGTTTAAAAGGTAAGTGGAAGATAAACAGCGGTACTGGTACGAAGTGCTCCTTGTTTGTAAAACCAGGTAAATACAAAACAATGTCTCTCCCTGTGCAACAGCTGTAACCAGCTTGGGTACATCTTTGTATCTGTTTTAATACACTGTGATTCGATGATTGCACATACAAAAATGATTTGTGTGTATGATTCACAACTAATAGAGAAAATTTTGAAGAATGTTTCATCTCTTAAGATGTACATGTATATCACGTGGACAAAATATCACATATATATACAATGGTTTCTCTCACACATCATGTAGCTCATCATTCAGTCTCATCACTCACATGTCCACCACTGTCAAATACACAAGTTATGCCGACTAATAACGCAGCATCCACTTTCACATCCACGTGCCTCTCCAGGCAGTTCTATCCTCGTTGTTCTTTGGGGCCACAAATGCTTTTTGACATAAATTTTAACCTTTTTTATACTTAAGTTGAAAAAAATCAACCAATTTTTTTCTCTTCTAAACACTGTTTCATCCAGTTTGGTCTGACCAAATTTAATTAACTATTTTAGTTGATTTTTGACTTATTCTAGACCATAACCTCAATTTTCAAACAAGATTTTTTTCTGAAGTTAATGCTTGCAATCAAGTTTCACTTTTCTTCAAACTGGATTTAAACTTCAATAAGCAAGTGAACAACGAAGGATTTGAAAAGTTTGGAAAATGACCCAAAAATACTCGTGTGTGAAAGAGTAAACTCCCTTCTCTTCACTCTCCTTCATGCATGTGTCCATGGAATGGATAGTTTGTAATTTAGATTTGTACAGTGTGTACAGCTCTCATCATACGTCATACAGCGTCCATCCAACTAACAGGCGCAGCCCTCCTTGTTGGGTGCTTGGTCGTTATTTATAGCATTCCTTGGTGTTGCTGGTTTGTGCTGTACCCCAGACTCGGCTGCATTGAGGTCCAAACTGAAAAAGTTTGAGCAAGATATCATGGTATGATATGTCTCAATTAAATTGCCTTGTCCAGTAACATAAGACATGTAATATTATTATAGAAATTTTCCCCAAGTTGACTTAAAGTCGACACAATCTAAAAAGAAGTGTTTTACTGTAAATGGTTCCTGACACGCTATGCATTGCGACTGGACATCACGTTTAGTAAATAACAATGGGTTATGTATGAATGACCCATCCAAAGACGGGCAAGGACAACCTCGTCTCGGCGCCTCTCTCTGTAGCTAGGATACCACTCACTGATTTTAGGTTTAATACCTTACATGTCTTAAATCTCTTTTAGAAAACATAACTGTCTCTTCAATTTTAGGATATCTGAAAGCTGTTGGTCTTTTTAATAAAATTTGAGTCATCATAGCCACTTTCAATATTCAAATTGAAGTTTGTCACCTTTAAGTTTGTTTGATGTTTTTGTTTTGTATTGGATTTTTTTCGACCATTTGTTGGCCCTAATGACCTATCCTGTATTGATGGGCCATTAAGCATTTAATAATAATAATAACAGTAACATAAATGTTGCCTACCAGTGTTTTCACAACTTTTTATTACTATGACCTAGTCTTTTTTTACTTGGAAAATACAAATGCCATATTTTCACAAAATTTGGAACATTCTGCATTTTTTCTTCTGTTTTGGGTAAAATACCTGACCAATTAATATACAACACTTAACATTAACTTTTTGAGTTATTTGTCCGTCTGGCAGATTATTTTAGGAATTTAAATGTCTACTTGTACCACCAATAAAAGAGGCAAAATTTAATTTGTGCTCAATTATTCACATGGTATGGTAGCTATATATATATAGAAAACTTGCAGCTATGGAAATTCATGACCCTTCCTTTTTTTCTTTTTATTTCCACAATCTTCCAACACCGAATGAAAACAAGGTGTGTTTTACTGCCATATTTGCAATACACATGGATTATCTGATACTTGATTACTGCGATTTTATTCTGCATGCCCACAAGCAATGTTCTTGCAATCAGGGTTACTTGAAAGCCTTGTAGTGTATGGTAAAGGCAGCAAGGAGTTCAGAAACAGCCTAGGTACATCGTCACTAAAACACTTTGTAGTGAATTTAAATTCAATGTTATCTGCAATTTTTATCAACTTGTCCTGTTGGGCAAGGTAGAAAGGGGAGTGGGCCGACCTTCAAATTGTTGATTATTTTCCATAAATGTATTATCATACTTGAACTTAGTAAATCATTTTATCAAAACCTGATTAAATATGGCTAAAGTCATGTCATGGAAATTATCATGGATATTCTACATGGTGCTCTTAAATGTGACATTCCTACCTTCCATCCTGTATATTTTGGTAGATTTTCTTTGCTGTATCTAAGAAAGCATCTTCTACATTATCACCACTGAAAAAAAGAAAATATATAATATCTGTAAGAATGTATTCTTAAATAATTGATACTTATAAAATGGAATACTTGAAATATGTTATGCCCTGCATAATTTAATGACATCCCTTTTATACAATGCACTATTAAAGCTACTTCTACAGTATAGCATAAGTTGAAATTCTTTAAGATCTGTTACTCTATAGTTACTTAACGTATATTCTAATGAAATGCATGGCCATACTGAAATGTTTTTAACATCAATGACAAACAACTGCTGGATCAAGAAAGTTTACCAGCAAGTTGAAATTTGGAAAATTATGAAGGGAATGGGGTCATTTACATGACCTATCAACACCTAGCAAAATCCATCATATATATAGAAGATTTCATCAACTTGTGTTGAGTTTTTACAAATAATGTGTCATAAAATAATGTTCTTTCGTTCAGAAGTTACTGTCAGGACAATTATAAGGGAATACATTACAATCGTCCGACTACTTGCTGCAATCTTGATAGAAGTTATGAGTGTCAAAAAATATTGTTTCAGATATACTGAAGTTACTGCCTGGACAAGGTGAGAACGAAAGAATATCAAAATGCAATTTGTTAGTCAACCTAATTGGATTGTTATGGGACAATAAAGTGTTTTCAAAAAAATGCAACGGCTACATCATATAATTTGCAAATGTCAACTTACGTTTTGGCACTGCACTCCAGAAACATCAAACCTGAAGTTTATAAAACAAAGGGTTTCTTTAAAACATGTTATGTTGCATTACATTTTAATTTTTAACTTTTCATTTATTATCCTTGTTGCAAAACCAAAAGTTTCTAGAAGGCTCCTGGTGCCCACCATAAAATGATCTTATCAGATCCACAAAAGATAATCTTTTCCCCTCTTTGCCCTACATTTTTCCTTACAGGTGCAATTACCCAGTCCCATGTTAGAAATCCAAAACAAGAATCTTGTACATTTATTTAATCCATGTAATATCATATTTGTAAGTGGACCAAGGGCAACATGAATATTTAATTTGAGAAACATCCCTCAATAACTTCCTGAGAAGCTTATTAGAAATAACAAAACTCTACAGTCAAAATCCAAGATTTTAACCTGTCGGCTACTTTGTTTTAAGACCAGGGGGAACCTACAAATAAATTTGAGAAAGTTCCCCTTTTTGACATAAATAACAAAAATTAACAGCAAAAGCAAGAAATTTTAGAAAAATTGGTGAAAATCCACCTGTAAGTTTCACAAAAGAAGTTGTTTGAATGTTTTGCACTTTGTGAACACTTATAAGCCTGCCCCTCAACCCTCAGCTCTGGATGGTCAATGAGTACAGATTCTGCTCCCATCATGAGCTTATGATTACCACCATGTTTCATCAAAATCTGACAGAGAACTATGTACTGGGAAATTTTCGCTGCAGTTTATTTCCCCCTTTTTGCCATCTGTAACAAGTAGGAATTTATCAATACAGCAAATATAAGTCAACAGCGTAACAAACATTGTAATTAAATGTGATGGGAGAAACTAACACTGGGCAAATATGGATTTCAAAGGCGAAGGGGGAAAAGTGTGCCTGGACGAAAAATTCCCGACATACAGCATTTCTTTGGAGAAGACGAAAATGTGATTGTTAACGCATGACAGACCAAGTATGTCAGACAAAAGGCAATTGCAATGTGTCACCTGAGTAACTCAAGACCAGGGAGGTTTTGCTTCAAGAATCCTATAAATACTGTTTGTTTGATTTCTTAAGGCCAGAATAACAACCTCAAATTCAGTGAGAGAATATGCATTGTTTCTTTAAGATGGTTTTTATATATCGAAAAATATTGTGACAAATAGTTTACCACGGAATAGTTATTTGTGTTCATAAGAATGTTACCATTTTCATCAGCAAACTGTTTCGCCTCTTCATATGTTACGTCTCGCTGTGCTTCTAAATCAGATTTGTTTCCGATCAGAAATATTACCTGTAAGAAGTGAAAAGTTATTATTATAATTGGATTCTTGACAGCCCATCAATACAAAAGAAATAATTAGTGCCAATTTAAAGAAGTGAAAAGAAAACTGAAGTTAAACAACCAGATAAATCTAGTTCAATCACACCGTTTTTGTTCCTGGCTTAATACCTGATGTCATATGAAGAACCTGGGAGCCACTGCCCCCCAAAAAGAGTAGAAACTGTAGGCAGAAAAGCCAAAACATTTTAGCCTTGGGTATTATCATCTAATAATTGTTAAAAAATTAACATTACACTTACTGATCCAGAATGCATTACTAAATCGTTTGCCGACGATGTTCAAATTTTTAGACAATTCTAAGAATCAATGAAATATGTACACTACTGGTAGGTGCATACAACATCACAAATTTGCTTGTAAGAAGCCTGAAGTTGCAGTCATACACACCATATTAGGATTAGTGGTACCATACATATTGTGTTAGGGGTTGTGATTCCATACATGTACACCTATATCAGGGGGTGGGATATACATACTCTATTAGGCCAAACAAATTTGATTGCTTGGTTCTCAGGCCCGCGCGCATTTCATGGCACCGTGCGCATTGCCGATTTTAATGTGAAAGTAATAATAAAAAAAAATTGTGAATGCGCCAGCTGCCATCTTGAAAAAAAAACGAAAATTGGTCCGCATGTCGTTTTTACTCGTTAGTCACCCAAGTCCCCAAAATGTTTGAATAAAGGTAAGGATTGAGATACAGGCAAGCGTTAAAATGATTATGACTTATTAGTCTTGTATACAAATGGTGCTCATTTCGGTACAAATAAGGAATGGGGGGTTTGTGATTCACGTCTGGAACATCGTGGGGGGATTTTCAGAGGCTTGCTCTATGACGGGTCTCTACACAACTATAACAAGACAAGGTAATGACCACAATGAACGTTTTACAAACTACACAATAAAAATAAATTGCCCTTGTCTCGTTTTTTGCCATGTAAAATAAATACCGCCCTGCCGCATCTATTTTGAAACAAGAGATCCCAGAGGGATCTTGGCGCCCACCTTTGTACCATCTTCATTAGTTCTTTGTTAGTTCGATCTTTTCTCTTCTTTCCTCTAATCTGTTTGATCGAGTCATTTTAACAGTAAATGCACCTTGAGGTAACTTTTGATCTAAACTTAATACTGATGTGTATGAAAGCCAACCTTCAAAGTGAGTTTGTCATTTCACATATTTACTAGTACAGTACTTAATGTGAAAGAAATAGAATCGATCATTGCA